CACACACACACACACACACACACACACACATTGTCACTCTCACACACTCTCTCTCACAGAAGACACACTCACATACACACATACAAGCAGCCATGGTGACACAAACAGGCACACACCCACACACTACCTCGCACACCTACACGCACCCTTACGTACACACCCACACGCATGGATACTCACACACACACACACACACACACACACACACACACACACACACACACACACACACACACACGCACATGCACACCTGGCCACAGCCGTACGCTCACGGTCACATTCCCACCCTAGGACACCCCCACACACACCATAGAAAACTCCCAGACCACTAACCCAACCTCCCAAACGTGGTGGGCGCCTCCTATAGGTAGGAACCAAACCAACGTTAGCCCAATACCACTCCCTTGCAAGTTACATTAGATATTAAAATTAACAAGTAGATATCCGCCGCAGACGTGTTTTCATTTTGCACATTCAGAGAGTAGCAGGACCGTCGAAGTGCCAGTCTGAGGGCCTCACTACTGCTCACCAAATTTGCAAAATGAGACTGAATCTTCTGCTAGAAGACGGGACGATACAGAGCCATATTTTTGTCTTTTGTAAAGTGGCGTGCTCAAGTCTATGATTCATTCTGGTTCTGCACATTCAGGGCCTAGTTGCACTACTTTTTTTTTACTTTTTTTTAATGGGAAAAAGCAAGGAAGTCCATTATCATGATAGTCGCCATCCACCACAATTCTTGGCAGATGGGTGGAGAGTGAAACAAATGAGAATCGTGTCCAACTGGAGGCCTGGTTGCCATCCGCCACAATTCGGAGAGTGAAAAAAATGAGAATCATGTCGAACTGGAGGCCTGGTTGCACTTACTCGCCACTATATTTCTTCTACAGAGAAGTTAAACATTTTTGTCTGCCTGACTTTTACTCGTTAAGCCTCTCACTCTCCAGAAAGTTGTTTTGTGGAGAGGTCCGAGGGCCACCACCCTCCACAAACCACCGTGCACGGGCGGGGAAAATGGAAGGCACTCTCCACAACTTGTGTCTACGGTGTGGCCAGCAGTCTGACATATTTTTCATTCGCCACAAGGTTACCTTTTGCGGCTTCGCCCGCAAAAAAATGAAGGGAAAAGGGTGCAAATGAGGGTGGGTAGCGGGTTGTTGGTCGGGTGTGGGTTTTGGTGGGGTCGGGGTGGGTTTTAGGCTCACCTGTGCATTGTTGTTGACACTGCGGATAGAATGCTGCTGCTGCTGCTTTTTAAGCCTTGTATAGTTTTTTTTTTGCTGGGTTGGTGGTTGTTTGGATTTGAACTCGCCTTTTGCATACCTGTTTCCCGCTAACCAAAAATATTCTTTCTCAGATGTCGGGAGATATGCAATTCTGCGATCGTGTGGGGGGGAGGGGGCGGGGCGCACAGTTAGTTAGATTGGTCTCTCTCTCTCTCTCTCTCTCTCTCTCTCTCTCTCTCTCT